TTGTCACTTTTTAGAAGAGAAAACAGAGATACGTATGTAGTAGTGTCAAAAGTTTTACTACTATTAGCGCTCTTTAGTAGCACGCGAAAATGAAAGAACTTTGCAGAAAACTCTCCTGAAATTTGCACATTGCAACTGCTTGAAAGTCTGAAAACAGTTGGATTTATGAGAACTTTGTTTGATTATTATGAGAGATTGATTATGCATCCAAAGAGTTTTGAAGACAAACCAAAACAAGAAAATAAAATATTCTATTTACAATAAAATATTGTGTGTTTTTAACCTGGCAATTCGCACCTTTATCTGCATTTTTTACCTACATATTTATTTGGTGTCACTTTTTATTCTACGTTCACTCATACAAGTCATCTTGATTTTGTAGAAGACTAAAGAGTACAAAGGTTGATAACTAAAGGAAGGTTGGCACTACCGGCTTATCATCCATTTCGACTTTTGTTCTTTAGTTTCGTCCTTGCTGCGACAGGTATATCTATATATATTTTTACATGTTATTCATTTCACTTTAAGTTTGAATGAGATAATGAAATAATACTATGTAATCATTAAAGTATTTAGCATAGTACTAAGTGCACTTTCTCCGGATATTATTGTTGTTGTAAATTTAACTAGTCAATTGTACATGTGAGACTTCTCTTGTTGAATTTTTATTCCGCTATAAACTAGTATATATGCTTTTGAATGTAATCAATCTAATTTTTTTTGTGAAATTTTATATTTATAGAGTCATTCATAGTTAAAATGTTGAAGGTATTACAATTATTGAAAGTAGGAACCTTTAGAAGAATATCTAAATAGTTTTTTCTCTTGATGTAGATGGAATTTGAACATCGTAGATGGATGTATAATAGGACTCATTCTAATGTGCGGGATTGAGGAAGGAATTTATAGAAGGAGTTGCGGGGTTTATTGCTAAGGCGAAATTGCTAAATGATTTTCTTATTGAAGGTACAATTAGGTGCCCTTGTGTTAAATGCAAGTGTGTCAAGTTAGTGAGACCAGATGTAGTTGAACTTCATCTTTACAAGAATGGATTTATAGAAAATTATTATGTGTGGACTGTTCATGGAGAGAATCATGATTTTCATAATTCTTTTGGTGGTGAGGGTAGTCCCAGAGTAGAGAATAATTTTGAAAATTCTCGATTCAATGAAATGATGAGAGATGCTTTTGAGATGTTCCCAGGGGCTCAATCCGAACCAAATGATGAGGCTAAGCGCTTTTATGAACAACTAGAGGAAGCTAGTCGTCCATTGTATGAAGGCTCAATACATTCCAAGTTGTCTGTTGCAGTTAGACTACTAACTATCAAATCTGATAGTTCTATTTCTCAAGCGGGCATGGATTCTATCATTGGGCTTATGAATGAACTAAATCCGAATAAAATTGACTTACCAAAAGATTTCTATACAGCAAAGAAATTGGTGTCCAAGTTAGGACTTTCATCAGAGAGGATTGACTGTTGTGAGAAAGGAAGCATGTTATTTTATAAGGATGATGCAGCATTAGAAAATTGTAAGTTTTGTAACCAACCTCGTTATAAGGAGGTTACAAATGCTAATAAAAAGAAGGTTCCTGTGAAGGCGATGCATTACTTACCCCTTATACCAAGGTCAAAGAGGTTGTATGCATCAATGAGTTCCGCTCCTCATATGAGATGGCACTATGAACATAGAAGGCCAACCGGTGTTCTATGTCACCCGTCAGATGGAGAAGCATGGAAGTATTTTGATAGGATGTTCCCGGACTTTGCAAGTGAACCAAGAAATATTAGGTTGGGATTATGTGCTGATGGATTCACTCCATTTGCAGTCTCCGCCGCACCATATTCATGTTGGCCAGTGTTTGTTACGCCGTATAATCTTCCTCCAGAGTTTTGTATGACAAGTCCATATTTGTTCCTAACTTGCATTATTCCAGGTTCACGCAATCCAAAAAGTTTAATTGATGTATACATGCAGCCGTTGATTGATGAGTTAAAGTTATTGTGGCATCAAGGTGTGGAAACCTATGATATATCAACTAAACAGAACTTCAGATTGCGTGCCGCTTTAATGTGGACTATAAATGATTTTCCTGCTTATGGAATGCTATCCGGGTGGTCTACTGCTGGAAAGTTAGCCTGCCCGACTTGCATGTAAGACACAAAAGCGTTCACTTTGAAACATGGAGGTAAGAACACATGGTTTGACTGTCACCGTCGTTTCTTGCTAATGGATCATGAATTTAGGAGAAACACTAGTGCATTTATGGAGAATCAAACTGATTATGAAGAGCCACCTTCAGTCTTGTCGCCAGAAGAAATTTGGAATAGAGTTAGGGATCTACCTAAGGTAACAGAGTCTCCATTGCCTAATAAGATACCTGGTTATGGTGTTACCCATAACTGGACTAAACAGAGCATATTTTGGGAGTTACCTTATTGGAAGCATAATCTTCTAAGGCATAATCTTGACGTCATGCATATTGAGAAGAACTTTTTTGATAACTTGTTTAATACTGTGATGGATGTCAATAACAAGACAAAAGATAACTTGAAGGCCAGGATGGACTTGAAGGAATATTGTAGGCGAAGTGAGTTGTACCTTACATACCTGAATAACAAGATTCAGAAGCCCAAGGCCAGTTACACATTCACTTTGGATGAGAGAAGGGAGATTTGTCAGTGGGTTAAGAATTTGAGTATGCCAGATGGATACGCGTCAAACTTATCTAGGTGTGTTGACATGAAAGAAGGGAAGTTGATGTCAATGAAAAGCCATGATTGTCACATTTTCATGGAATCATTGATGCCTATTGCGTTCAATGCCTTGCCTGATAGAATATGGAAGCCTATCACAGAGATAAGCTTATTTTTTAAGGAGTTGTGTTCTAGCACATTGAGGATGGAGAATCTAACTTACATGGAGAGTAATATTCGCCTAACTCTAAATAAGTTGGCGAAAATTTTTCCTCTTGGTTTCTTCGATGTAATGGAGCATCTTCCAATTCACCTTGCGCAAGAGGCACGACTTGAAGGGTCAGTTCAGTATAGATGGATGTATCCATTTGAGAGGTAATAAATAATTTTTAATCATTTGCCCTTTATTTATTTTAATTAAATATTGTTCCGTCTAAGAAATCGTAATATGCAGGATTATTGGCAAATGTAAGCGGACCGTGAAAAATAGATCGAGAATTGAGGGATCGATATGTGAGGCATATCTGGCTAAAGAAACTTATTATTTTTGTTCATATTATTTTGAACATGATGTGCCATGTTTGAGAAATAGACCCAATCGACATGACGATGGAGGAAGTAATGATCCTTCAACACCACCATTTTCCATATTCAATCAACCAGGAAAAGGTGGTCCAAAAAGTAGTTCAAAGCGAATCTTGACTGAGAAGGAACTAGAGTCAGCTACAACACATGTACTATTGAATTGCCCCGAGGTCCAACCTTATTATAGGTAAATATATATTTATATTACCAAGTTCCATACAAGATTTATCCTTGTTTTAACTAATGAATATTATAATTGTGTCGGACAATTACTTTGTGGGTACATATGGGCAGAATGTTGTTTATCCTAGGTTTTCAAAGTGGTATAGAGAATTTGTAAGTGTTACTTAATATTTATCATGGTTTTTGTTAGTTGCAAATTAATTACATATAATTTAAAATTCTAAATTTTCTCTAATTCTATATAGGTTCATAATCCAGCTAATGGCATACGTGATCAATTTCTGCATGATATAGCTTTTGGACCTGATCCTAGAGTCAGAAAGATGTCTAAGTATTGTGTTAATGGGTACAAGTTTCATACAGAAGAATGGTCTAAGGGCAAGAAAACCAATAATAGTGGGGTGTGGGTGAAAGGTGAGGGGGATGTTGATTATTACGGTGTGATTCAAGAGATTTTAGAACTCGAGTACAGCGTTGGTTGGCCAAAGAAAAAGTTGGTACTCTTTCGGTGCAAGTGGTATGATCCAACACCAAATAGAGGTACGAAGAGGCACCCCCAGTACAAAATAGTTGAAATTAAGCACACGAGGGATTATCCATTCTATGATCCATTTATCATTGCACAAAATAAAAAACAAGTGTATTACACTCCTTATCCTTTGTGCAACAATAAGTCCTCATGGAGGATGGTTATTAAAATAAAACCCGTGGGTAGAGTGGAAGTCGAGGATGTTTTGGATGTAGCTTACCAAAATGACATTTCAACTGTTGAAGCATTGGTAGATGATGAATTAGCAAGTGAATTACACCATAGCGAAGGCATCTATGAAGAATTTGATATTTCTGTCCTTGGATCAAATTTAAATGATGATGGGGAAGGAACATCCAGGGCAAATGAGGAGGAAGACCCAGCCAATGAATATGAAACAAGCGATGAGGAAGAATTACCTGATGGAAATGAAACAAGTGATGGAGAAGAATTTCTTGATGACAATGGAACAAGTGATGAGGAAGAATCTAATAATGAATATGAATCAAGTGAAGATGATTGACTTGTTGGGTTTTTATTATCTCTTTAAATTTTATATTTTTCCTTAGTTATCTAATATGTTGAAGAATTATTTTATGTTTTTATTATGTCGTTAGGTTTTATGTTATTCTTTAATCATTTAATTTGTTGAAAATTACTTTATGTGTTTATTATTTCTTTAATTTTTATGTTTTTCCTTAATCATCTAATTTGTTGAGGAATTACTTTATGTTTTTATTATTCTTTAGGATTTTTAGGTTTTTTTTCTTAATCTTCTAATATATTGAAGATTTTATCTCTTTATGTTTTTATATTTTTTCCTAATCATCTAATTTTTTATGTTTTTGTATTATTTCTTATACATCTAATATGTTGAAGATTTGCTTTATGCTTTTTTACTATGGTTATATTACGTAGATGGCATCTGGGGGTAGCGATCGTCAACGCCGTAAGCGTAAGGGGACTCAATTACAATGTCGAACTGTAGGTCACTCTCCTCCACATATGGGGCCTCCTCCTACTTTTCCTCCTCAGTCGACTTCGTTACCACCTACATTTTTTATGCCCCCACCTGGGCCTGTTCACATTTCTGTATCTTCAGTTGGCCCAAACTTTGGCTCTAACCTTAATTTTATTCGCACACCAAATGTAACTTCTTCTCCCGATTTTCATATTAGTCAACAAGGTAGCTCCTCAGCACTGCCTACTTCATCGACTCCAGCTGCATCTCCGGCATCAAGCACACCTAGCATATCTAGGTCAAATATTGGAGTCTCTGGTACACCAACATCACCATCCATTGGTAGTGCTACATCAGCAGCTTCTCGGGGTCGAAGTGGTAAAGTGACTCCACAATTTGATACATATGGTAGCCTGATTATCGTTCCGGATGAGAAAGATGGGTAAGTAATCCTTATGTTTATTTTTATTCTGTTGAATATACATTTTACATATGTTAATTTTAATGCAGGTTTTTCCCTTCATTTGCTGCCGCGCATATGGTTATAGAGTCTATGAAGCCGCTTTACGATGATGCTTGGGGTAGATGGAAAGACATTCCATATGATATCAGAGATAAAATGTGGAATCAGTTTAGGGTACGTATAAATCTTATTTTTAAATTATATATCAAATATCCAATTTCACTCTACTTTATTTAATTATTTTCTAGACTTTGTGTGTGTGGGAGCAACGATATGACAATGAAATAAAATATGTCTACGAGAAGAAAGCAAAAAAATTGATTCCAAGTTCATTGTATGAAGCTCGAGACAAGAATAAGAAGCCTGGTTGGATAAGAGAAGATGTGTGGATAAAATTTTTAGCAATATGGGATAGTGTTGAATTTAAGGAGAAGAGCGAACGAGCAAAGGCAGCCCGAGCCTCTCAAAAGGGTGGCTCATTGCACACCGGGGGATCTATGAGTTTTGCTGCGCATCGACAGAGATTGGTAATGTTCACTAGAGACCTTAATTTCTCACTTACTTTTCCTATGTCATCCTCTTCTCAACTCTTCTTTATAAATTAATGTCTCACTTAGTTTTGTTGGTGAACAACTCGAGATCAATAAAAATAGCAACTATCATGAAAGCCATAATTTTAATTGTAATAACTTGCTGAGATTATGGATGTTTTTACTGTCATCTGATTGCAAGATACACTTCCTCTCTGCTCCTGTATTGGCTTAAGTTTAATGCCACTGGTTTATTTTCGGGAGTTATAAGGTGATCATTTATTCTGTATAGCATGCTTTCCTTGGGATCATTATTGCAACTGCAGATGAATACCTGAATTTGAAGTGAACAGCCTTGATATTATATGACCTTCCATAATATCTTAGGATTTCTCAATTGCTAGCATATCGTTGAAATCTTAGAAAGCTAAAGATGATTGGCTTTCTTATAGATCAACATTCCAAACAAATACCATGAAGTTCTTCTCAAACTTGTGCGCGACTTTAGTAGTCAACCTGCAAGTGTACAAGATTCTCTTAGAATTTGTTTACTTGCTCCTATGATAAGTCTTCATTTGGTGGCCTTCAATATGCCTCTCCCCAAATTGAATGTGGGATACTCTTGATTAGCACTTAATATATTA